GCACGCATGGGAGGGAAGAAGAGCCCGGGAGGGGCTTAGTCATTGAACTTTCCCCAGCCAACGTGTACTGATGAATCGATTCTCTCAATCAGAAGTTTCATAGGCTTTGTAGAATAGTTTTTATTTCCTTACAGAAATGTATAAGATTGTTTTTTTGTTTTCATAAAGAAATACTTGAAAGTCCAGCATTGCATCAGGTTGTATGTTAGCACTATGTAATCGGTTTCCTGCTTCTTACACACAGTTGATAAAAACTAAGCTACTTAGGAACAGGAAAACCCCTTTTGAATTGCAGTCTGAAGTGTCGAGCCTGTTGTTCCTGGATCACCTTTACAGAGGAATGTAAAAGTTTTGAAAACTGGAGTTTGAGCACCATTTTTTAAACAATTTCAGTCATTTTGTTTCCTGAAGAAGTGTTGCGGTATTGCTGTTTAAATAATAGAATATTAAGTAGGATCAATTATTTGTATTCTAAATTTTTCAAACTGTTATCTTTTCCATGTCTGCCCAGCAAAAATTACGTAAGTATCTACATTCTGCAGTATTGAGCAGGCCCTTTGAGGATCAGGTCACTTTTTTCACCTTGCATTTAGCAAGAGCAATGGCAAAACTGAGGACTCTCAAATAACACAAAATCTAATTTATTCCTACAGATTCTTTCTGGTTATGCTAATCTCGGGTATTTATTTACATCTAGAGCAGAGCCAAACTCTGAAACAGATGCCTGAAGATTTTTTTTAAACCATTTGTCTATACTAGGAAATTCTAATGAAATTTGTATGAAAACAGATGTTTGTGGATAAACAAACCTTTTTGTTTGCTTACACATATTTCACAAAAAAAATCTGTTTAATCTGTTCTTAAAACATTGAGCCTGAAAAATTGAGAGGTTAGGACGAAAGGATTTGTTGAACTTTTTGTCTGAAATGCACCTAGATTCGCTTGTCTGTGGAGGGAGCTGCTTAGCATTTGGAAGGGGGAAAGCTATTTTTTAGTTCAGGTATGAAAATGTGTGATACTTTATATCAATTATTTGGCTGATTGCTGAAAGTGCGTTGGAGTGAGGGGGCATTGGCTAGTTCTGGCCTTTACTAATGGGAACATTTCAGAATGCGGATGAGTAATTAAAGTATAGAATGCGGAAAATTAGGCCAAAATTGAATAGAAATGAATAAGTATGCGTTCTGTTGTGCAGATGTTGGAAACAGATTATTTTGGATACTGCTTTCTATCGACATCTTGTTTGGTTACCATGTAAAAATCGGTCATACACCATGTAGATTGTTTCTCTTCCTATTGCCTTCTCTGTTTTTATGTTGTGATGAATCTGTATAGGTAGTAATTTAGCAAAATATCCTGTCTGCCAGGTGTGGGAACTAGCTGATTGTATTGTAATACCAGATCATTACTTAATTCATATGCAACCTAGCCTAGCACATGGAAAGCATTATAAATCTATTTACAGTGTGGCTGGTCTGATGATAACATTGTATTAAATTCCCAGGTGAGGCAATTTAAGCAATTGCTTTGCCATGTGTAGGCCATGGAAATTAACTTCTCATATGCTTTAGTAATAGACGAACTTCATTGTTATGCTCAGATTAGTAGTATAGCAGAATTCTTACAGTCTGGTTACATGTACCCTACTTCACATGTAGAATCATACAGGGGGGTGGTACTGCAGATCACAGATCTTAATTAGTTTAAGCTGAGTTAATTCATTTCAATTCTAATTTAGCTGTGCTTGCCCATGAACACATTCAGTTCTATTGGGAAATGTTAAGGCTTGGGTCAAGTAGACAGATTGTTTAAAGCCAAATTGCCAGACAGAACTGAGCAAGTGTATCTGTTTGAACAGGGCTTTAAGAAAATCACCCAATCAGTATGCAAAAATCCTGTTCATAAACCAAGGGAGATCTGCCTGGAATCAGAAATTCTGCCTTGTCAGAAGGTCTGGGTACTGTAGCACATTTAAAACAGCCCCTGAAACTTTCTCTGTCTTGAAGTTCTTGTAGAAAGTAGCTTAACCCTTTCGTGCCACCGCGTGCTCCTGTGTGTGCTACATTTGAATGCAAATGCATACACTGAGTTGAAAACACTTGTGTGCTTAGACTTTCTGTCTATGTATATACAAGAAAGTATAAAATACGAGGAAAACTTCTATATATGACAGACCTTTGCAGGCAAAAAACTGCAAACAGAAGCTCTTAAACTCATATGGAGCTGCCCAGAAATGCCTTGGATTACGAACTCTGTAAAGCTTCTGTCTTTTCTAGAAACACACATATAAAGTACCAGTAGACAGTGGTAACTGACAACTAAAACTAAAAATGTTGACAATTTCTTGATTTGCCTGGTTAGCTTATGTATAGAAGTCATTAACTATTTATAAAATGCATTATGAATTGGGTTCCTTCAAACTGTAGCAGAGTGTGTGACATTTCCAGCTCAAACTATCATTCTTGCATTTGGCAAAAGTACGTATTTATAAACAGCTGATAGTTATGAGCTGAAAAAAATAATCTAAAAATTATTTAATTGCTGTGTTTGGATGAACTGAACTCCTTTTGATAACCACATTTAAAATTGTTAGCCAATATTACTTTAATAAAAATAAGAATACTAATTCAAGATATTGATATTTTGGACAAATACTGAAAGAACTAATGAACACTTTAGTTCAAAGGCCTTTCCTTTTATATTATTGATTCATTTGGTAGTGAAACTGTGATCAAAAGTAGTATCAAATTATTTATTGATTATGGCAAAGAGTTACACTTAATTGTAGTCAAAGGGTTGTTTCTTTTTATATAATTGCTGATTTTCAGATCATGAGAGATTATTGCAATAAAAGAACAATGATACGATGTATTTGTTAAGTTCAGTGGTGATGATATAAAAGATTATAAAGGGCCTCTAAAAATTATATTGCTATTAACATGTATTTCTTTCCCATGAAGAATATTCTTTTTCCTTTCTTTCATGCAGTCTCTTATGAATGAGAATATCTGCCAGTTAAATCTTTCAAATAAATGATGTGTAACCAAGGACCATCTCAGTCTCTCTATGTAATTAGGCAACTTGTTCACTGGAGAACAAGCTCATGAAGCATCATGCTCCTCATCTGAGTCTAATAATGATAAATACATTCAACACTAACAATATCAATGGGGCTGAATCATTTTGTGAAATTGGGAGAGACTGTGCAGTTGAACTGCTAGACCTCAAATGGGAAGATTGAATCTTAATCAGAAAAGAAGATTAGATATTTATTGGTATATATTTGTAATTTCCTTCCTTGTTTGATATATGTCAAATAAAAATAGGAAAATAATATAATTGAGCAATCTATGCCAATTTGTTGGCTTTTTGGTGAAAAAAGAGAAAAACAAAACCTATCTCCATATGATATTCTTGCATACTGTGGAGTGTTTTAGTCCCCCATAGTGATGAAATGAATAATTTAAACAGGCAGCTCTGATACCACAGCCTGTTTAAAGGTTCTCATTTCCTTTAATGCTGTAGACTACTTTAGCTTGGTTAGTATGAAACTGTGACAGCTGAGATCTCCAAAAGATTTGGCACAATTCAGCTCTTGTAGTAGGTCCACGGTATGCTTTGTCCTTGCTATGTACATCTGTAGCTTTAGTATATAATCTAGATCTGAACATGGGCAACTGAAACATGAATTGGTAAGCACTGTAACAATGATGATGGTAATAAAGGGTGAACTGCATAGCATAAAAAGCTAAAATTTTGTTGCTCTGAGATGACCAATACAAGGCTTACTCCGCTGCTAGACTCCTAGCATAAGGCATGACCCACTTACGCACTTCTTTCTCACAAAGGTAATCAATTTCCCAGTGGTCAGTATAATTTCCAGTTGCTTGTTTCCTGTGCTCCAGTCCCAAGCACGTTTTTTGGCATGATCGTCCAATTAGGGAAAGTTTAAAGAGGGATTTGGTTTTACTCACTTCCTACTGGTAGTGACTGCCACGACAGAGCATGAGGGACTCTCTCTTCAGTAAAGGAAAGCCCTACCGCTCAGTTATTTTAGTTCTTATTACTCTTGGGTTTTGTCCTTGGATGAAGTATAAAACTGATCATAACTGCACTCAAAAATAAAAAGATTTTGGACAATATGTTAAAAATCCTTTTTCTCTTTTAATGGTGAATGTAGGAATATTAACCCACCAAGGACCTTGGTGATCTTCCGACATTTGCTTTCCATTGCTTAGGACTAGATCTAGCTTAGAATCAATGCGATGATCAGTTCATGAGCAAATCTGGTGCTCTTAAGCTGTGAATAACGATTGTCTGCCATAGTGATCTGATGAATGACTGTCTCAGCTTTGTGTTGTTTCCATAGACTGCTGTAAACCAATATTTCATCATAATGCTGTTTTCTCTGCTTTTTTTTTGCACTTTGATTTCTGGTCCTTTCCCTGTAGGCCTTCATAGCCTTAGCAGCATAGGAAACACTTGTTAATTTTCTACATCTTGAAGTTCGACCAGTTTTATTAAATGTGTTTTGTTCAGGTTTTGGTTTTATTTGTATGCGAAAAGCTCAGTCTTCCTTTCCTATGTGATGGCACCACTGCAGTGTTACTCTGGGTCCTGCGTCCAGCTAGCAAGTGTTCTTCAGAAAAATCCGTTTGGTTCCTACGCTTGTATTCCTTCAGTGCTTTTGGTGTTAGTGCCTCTCCCTGTCACCTGATTATCAGAACTGGGATCACACATTATATTTCTTGAGCTTCACTGGAGCAGCTTTCGTTGCTGAAATGCTGAGGATGTGACTGCCTTAGAAGTGCTAAGGTTTTCCCATGCAGAATTGTCAAAATAGAGCGGTTGAAGAACTTTTTAATAACTTTTACTTGCAGATTTATTTTTTTTCTCAAATAGGTATCCATTAGGGGGCTCTCGAGGTTTAAGATGATTAGCCTTGGTACCAATGGCTTCGGAGCTTTACTTCCTAACCCTTTTTTCTTTTTGTTTTACAGAAAAGGTCACGGATCGCCTACAGTGATGAGGTGCGGAATGAGCTCCTAGGGGATGACGGGAATTCCTCAGAGAGCCAGGTAGGATGCTAATCAAGAAGCCCTAGTGGGTGGCTAGAGGGTGAAGGAGGTCACTGGCACACTGGGCTTCTCAAGCTGCTCCTTAACAGCATTAGCAACAACTCATGTGGAAGTGATACTGTTTAATGCAAAGCTGGGGTCTTAACTTCAAAATGTTTCTTGGAGATCTTACATTTAACCCTTTAACTTGTGATCACTGTCTGCTATCTTAAAAAAAATCTTTTCTTCTCTTTTCTTTATTATTTAGTACTTAAGAAATAACTTGAAATGCGCTGTTTGCTGACAAAGCCAAGGTCTTCACCTCAAACACATGTAAAAGGAATAAATAAAGTACATAATGCAGCTTTGATAATAATGCAGTATAATTAAATCAACACTGGCAGGCAAAACAAATGGAAGTGCACTCTCAGAGTTAGGCAGTACCCCTCTCAGTTTCCTTGTGTGATTCCTTCCCTAAACAGATTTTCTCTCCTTGTACCAAAAACACAAGTTGTATTCATAAAAGCATGCTTTCATAATGCACGCTGTACTAGAATGCAGAGTGTTATCCATCTCTTTTAATGAAGGAAAGCTTGATAATCCTGAGGCTTTCTTAAAATCTTGTACCCGTATTGTTGTTCTGTGCACTACAGTGAGGATCCTACTAGACTACTGGAAATTATAAAGGCAACATTATATTCAGGGGACTTTGACCCACCTGTTAATATTGCTTTTGGTGCTGAAACTCGTTTGACAAGCTGTATCTGAATGCAGAATGTTTCTTTTCTTGTTGAAAATCATGTCAGCTATAATCAAAGTTGTATATTCTGAGTTAGAAGTTAGTTGAAAGGGTTTTTTTTAAATATCAGATTTTCTCTTCTGACCAGATAGAATTTAAATTATTTTGGGAGTGAAAGTGAAGCTTATTTAAATGGTTACTAGATATATGCAATATTAAATAAGGAAACAGAACAGAACCATGTTCTGAAAATTTTAGTATTTTCTACCCTCAGTATAAGCTCAGTTCCACTAAGGATTGGAAAAAAGAAAGACTTGGAGACTTATCCCAGTACAATGAATTTTAAAACACAGACCCCTTAAACCTTAATCTTATACAGTATTTTAAATGTGCTGTATAAGTTTTAAACTCTGTAATGGACTTTGATCCATAAATTAATGAAATTATACACAGGATACAATGTATCTGTAGAATTTTTAGTGTACGGCAGCTCTAATATCTATGTGAAGGGTTAAATTCAAAATACATTCATCTTCAAAGGAGATTTTATTCCAAAATTTGAATCAAATAAAGAGGGGTTTTATCCCTAAATAATGAGTGTATGGAAGGGATGATTTCAGGGAAGAGTTTCACGGTCTGCATGTCATGATCGTAAACTCAGTCTTGTGAAAGTGTTAAGAGTCTCATTTTATTTCTTTTAAGATGCTGTTTTTACATTTCAAGAAAAAAATATGTGAATTCAGACATAAAAGGGCAATTGTGATAAGAAGCTTTACTTAGAATATCTTATGTGTAGGGATGAGATAAAATATTTTATTTTCACTTTTTAAGGAATGGTTAAATAACTGGTTCACATGTACTCTTTTTGTGAGTTATGATCTTTTTTCTAAACTTGATGGAAAAAACATGGTTTAAGTAACCAAATGATACTTTCGACCCTTTGTCAACAGGAATTTTTCTTCCAAATGACTGGTTCTTAAATGGAAGATAATTTTGCGTGGTAAAGGAGTTTATGTAGTAACCCAACTTAAAATTATTAGGCCCATATCTGTGGAAGTTCCGAATTTTTTCTTTCCTTCCTTGAAAAATGTTATCAAATATCACCATAAATGAGTCAACTAACTTCTTTTAAATATGTGAATGCCAGTATAATTAAAAAATATTATTTATTGTGTTGTTCCAATAATCAGTATTAGAATATTTTTGCTATGAAATATCATTACTTTTTTTTGTACTTATCTTGTATGCATCCAGTTATGGGTACAAGCAGTTAGTGCAAGAACTTCAATCTGATGTTGAGGTTGTCAGAAGTGCAACTACCCAAATCAAGTGTAATGTTTGAGTGCTTACCATATAGTGAACATATTATCTTGACCTATTTAACTCAGTAACCCCAGGTCTAATACACTTGCAGTCCTACACATTATTATATCAATAGACAACTTGAACTAGAGGACAAAAGGATTCTCAGGTATAACTTACAGCCTTATTAAGTGTTTAAAAATGTTGCAAATTCTTGCTTTAGTTTTCTCTAATGGAAATAAATGCAGGTAGGTGGAATGACCCTCACGCCAGTGTTATAGGACTTGCACTTACCAGTCAGTTTGGGTTAGGTTGAATAAGTAAAACTGAAAGGTGGTGGCTTTTTATTCCCAATTCAGTCACCAAACTCTGAAAGAGGAGAGGAGAGGAGGGATTCCTCTTCTAACAAAGGGGTTGTTGAAAAAAGTTGCCAGCTCAGAATTCCTCCTGTAGCAATCCACAAATACTAGTAAAATCCACCAGTAGAAATGCTGAATAGCTGGTTAGGCTGATGTGTTACGCAAGAGAAACAAGAACTATGAGCTGTGTGTTTCAGGTATGGCCTTTGTCATCATGATAACATTTGCAAAATGTTTTTGGTGGAGGGAGAAGAAAAAAGGAACTTGATGTATCCTGGCTAGTACAACTGTATTACGTATCTAGAAATAAATAGGGCACAATTTGGATCCTTTTTGAGATGAGTTTCAAAGGTAGAGTTTCAGCAGAACACAGGCAAGTTAAAAGCTGTAGAATAGCATCAGAGGTATGAGCTTCCAGTTGTTCTCCCAAGAAGAAAGATTGAAGTACAAAGAACAGATTGAAGAATTAATAACTTATGATTGGTCTTTTGTCTTCTTCTGTTTTCCTAAATGTCTCCCATAAGTAGCTGTCATCATGTGTAGACGACAACAACTTAGAATACCGGAGCCTTATAATTATTATACCAAGATTTAACTATTTCTACCAGATAAATCATGTAGAAACTCCTTGTAAGAATGTATAAGAATCATACAATACTGCTCTTCAAAGTTTGGGGAGTTTTTAAAATAAATGCATCTTTGTTTAATGAGGTAGATAGCGACACGATGGTCTTAATGCATTTAGGGTTTAGTAAAGTCCTTGCTTAGTATACATTAATTTCTTATTAATTTGAATCTGGTCAATGTAGTCAGATGAGACACATACAGAGGTTGAGAATCAGGAGACGTCCCTTCTCCCATCACAAAAGCCTCACCTCACAACCCCAAACCCGAAAACCTACTGTGTATATTGGGTTATTATTTATTTTCTAGAAGTGGTCTTAAATGGGCTCAGTTATTTTCAAGTTTTATTTGTCATTCTGGCCACCTACGTTTATCAAATCCCTTGAAAGTTTTGAGCTTTTCAGTACAATAATACACTACTTAAAGTTGTAGGCTTCACTTTAATAATCATAGAACTGTTTCATGTGGTGTTTCATATGTTTTTGAGAAAGTATATGTTGGGTTAAATCAGAAATCCTTCTTGACCAAAATAGTTTCAGGTACAGTATTAACAACTTCCTTGAAATATAATAGCATTCCTTTCTCTTTCGCAACTATGTTCATTAATAAGTTTAAATAAATTTGCACTGGGTTAAATTGTGTGTCCGTATACACATACACTGTATATGTGATTTGTGGTGAACAAATATTTTGTGGCTACTTAATTGCTGACAACAAAGTTCTGATAATATTAGGTTTGGGCTTGCTGTGCATAAAGTGTGTCAAACTTCAGCTACAGACCAGGGGGTGAAGTTGGTCAATTTAATTCCCCAAGATCTAAAGAAGGTCGGTATCATTTCATATAGCCCTGGCAGAGCAGATCATTACCAGACACAAATCTGTTCGTTACATGCCGAGGGTTTATAGCAAAATAAATAGACTGTCATCATAAGTTCAGAAAATTGTGTGTTCGACCCACGATAATGTGTAAAGGGCGTTTAATAGAGTTCAGCATTTATTCGTTATCTATATGCGGACAGAGACGGCGGTAGCGTTATCAGCTTTTTAAAAAAAATTCGGTAGTTTTCTGTGTCACGTGGTGTGCCTCACAGACACACACACACACGCGCACACACACACATGCACACACCCCCCATCTCGCTCCCTCGCTCTCTGCGGCGTAGTTTTGATTTTAGTCACAGCAGAAGGCTTAGCCACAAGAGATTCCACTGGTTCAAACCAGCGTAAACCAGATTTTTTTTTAGCCTACAAAGGAACAGATTACCTCTTGTATCGAATTCTGCATTGCAAAAAAAAAATAAATCTTTGTTTCAAAAATATGCTGATTATCATAACCTAAAATGGTGGCTGCGCACGGCTTAATGCTGGTTACAGTTGAGCGCTAAGCATAATAAAAATAATGTTTCAAAACAGAAAAGTAAAGGTAACATGTTTTCATCAAGACCATTGTTAAATGGGGGAAAAATACATCTTTTGTTAATTTGAATGCATATCTTTCAGCCAATGTTAAAAAAAAAATCCCTCTCCCATTACTTAGCTTAGCTGCAAATCCCATGCAGAGCTTAAATTCAGCCATGCAGCACAAACAAGATAGAACATTTTTGTTTGGGACCTATTGAAAAAACAAATGTGCAGCATTTTAAAACTCTCATTGATTATAGCAGGGTGGCATGCCCAAACGGGCTCTATTGCGGGAGAGTAGTTTTAAACTTTGGCCCTTTAAGTATCATAGTCAACTGAAGAATGGTGGCCTCAGAAAGAAAAGATAGCTATGTGATCAACTCCCAGATCGTCTCTTTCTAAAGAGCCTTAATGTTTGCCTTTTTGGGGAAAAAAGGGGGGGAAGATCTGGAGAAAGAGACCAATTTATGATAGGCCAAGCACTTGAATTTAAGCGCCGGTTTGGTGGACAATGCAGTTTTCTTTATACCAAATTCTCGCAAAGTTCCTTTAGCTATGAAGAGCCGGTTCAGTTAAAGTCCTCGTGGCAGTAGCCCTCCTAATTACATCCAGTTAGAGCCTCCTTGTCCGTTTTGGTATCGGGGTGAGGCGTGCATTCAGTTTGAGACGAGCCATGTGAAACAATAGAGAATAATGGACGTTCTTTTGTTTCCTTCATGCTGGCGCGACTTTCGTAGTAGTAAACATTCTCAGCTTACACACGTGTTGAAAATTAGTGTTAGGAAACTGGGAATGAAGTATCAGCATAAACTGAGATAATGATGTAGCTGTTGTAATTTCGAATTCAACTGGAATCGGTGAGAGAACTGTAATTTTTTGTAAAGAGCCACTCTTACGCAGACATTTTTTGTGAGTAATTATACGTTTTGTTCCACTACAAATAATTGCTCTGTCTCTCTGAGGGGAGAGCGTATTACAACATAGCTTGATAATCAGACTGGACTTTTATTTAGTTTTATAGTAAACCTGCCGGATCAATATTATTAATAGTGTTAGATTGTGTTGATTTACAAGCATAAATTGATAAATATAAATATATATACTATATAAGTATACATGCACACACTGTGTGTGCATATATGTACACACTGTGTAGTGGTCTAGGATTAAGAAGCTGGTATGGGTCTTTTCTGAGGGAAATACGTTTCATGTTGTTCCCTGTTCCTTTGTCTATTTTTAAACGTGCTGTGCAATAAATCATAATTCTGAGCTGCTTAACTAAGCTGCTGCTTTTTTTTGTAAACTGGAAAAAACCCTCTGTATAAGGTTCAATAATAAATTTAGATAATATAGTTACATTAGCACTCAGGTAAATAAAAATTGAAATACTGGTTACATGCTATAAAGATGCAGTCATCTATTAATAAGTTAGATCTGCTAGTAAGATAAAAAATCAGTTGTCACAACTAAAATATACAGAAAACATTCTGAAAACTTGTATATACAAAACCACTTCAGCTGTACAATCTTCGAAGAGAGGAATAGTAAACTTGTTTTTTTCTTTATAATATAGACTTCTATGAAGTCATTCCCCTTTATTTCATGATGGTGTCTTAGATGTGGTTTAAAAGAGAATTTCACACTATTCTCTTTGTTTAATGTGACAGTGTGAGAAAGTGATCTTTATTCGTTCAAAAAACTCTGCATGTAGTCTATGTTTAGGTTCTTTTAATGTGTTTGTCTGTGATTTTTAAATGCTAAACATGTAAACAGATAAATTGTCAATGTTAATTCTGTATCCTGTCACACAACTGATCTTTCTTTCCTGCCATTTCTTTCCTTTTTATCTTTTTTGTGCGTTCATGTTGCAGTTGATAAAATTACGTGAAGAGGTGAGTACTTTCTTGCTTTTTGTTGTCTAGCTTTCCCTTTAAAGCTGAGTTTCTAAATCTGAAGTAGATCTTTTTGTTCATTGTTGCAGGGAAATCTACACAAAGCAAAAATATTGATTACATTGCTTTAAAATATTCACTGTTGTGCCTCTTCTTCCCTAATAATTGTATACTTACATAGGAATCTCTAGATCAAACCTTAGAAATTAACATTCTTTGATAGTGGAAGTTTTTTTAAAGGCACTAGAAAAAGAAGGGGAAAAAAAACCCCTATTATTTGATCTCTGCTAGAATACCATGATCAAATCAGGTACAGTAATAATCATGTTTGCATCACAAAATCTTTGATAGGGTAAATACATTTATACCCTGGTATTGAAAGTGAAAGCACTGCTTTGGTAAAACCCTGTGCTGAAACACTGTAAAAATTACACAGTATTTCACAATGTTTTGAGTTTGATGTGAGGTATTCAAGTAGCTTATGTATTATATTGGATATTGTATACCCAGTGAAAATACAGGATAGATAGATAGTCCTACACACACATATCAATATTTATTATTTATTTGTGAGTGCTGTAGATCTATAGATGTAACACTAGAGATCAGTATTCCAGAACACCTTTCTTCCAGTTATAAAATGACTCATAAATATTTAGAGAGAGAAGCCTTTCTTAATGGCCAGTTCCTCAAGTGTTTCGGTATATTTTCTGAAATTAATCTCCTCTATTACTTACTGCTATAGCAAAGCAGGTATCTGAACTGCTTTTTTTTTTATTATTCCCCCTTAGCCACCAAAAAGAAGATCTTGGTAAAGTCGAGATTACTTTTAGGTCAGATTTCTGAGGGGTTTCATATAGAGAGTTTGAGCCAGTGAAGTATTTGAATAAATGTATTTAGAAGCATGAGTATTTTAACATCACATATTTGTCTGGTATCTTCTTTTTGAAACGTGTGCCCAGACGTATCAGTAATGAATACTGAGCTCTGCAGGAAGGGATTTGTAAGTTTTAGAAATGGTGATGACAAAGAATTGTAAAGTAACCAGATTAAGTACAATTACAGAGAATTCTTAAAAACAGTAAGATATTTGAGATATAAAGATTCTTTCACTAGTTCTCTGAAAGCTTTATTTTTCCCTTTTCTTGTGGAGCTGATATTAATATGTTAAAGCTACAGAGTAAAACAGTTAACAAAAAAATTAAACAAAATAAACATGTAACCACATGAAAGCCCTCCCACCACTGCTGAGCTCCCCTCCCCAATAGTCCCAGTATTTAAACAGATGACAATATTGTTGCAAGGGTTTGTATAGCCTGATTTCTGAGATTTTTCAGAAGGACAAGGTTCATTTGCTCATCCCTTCAACACCTGCTCCTTTGCTTTTGTAGAATCATGTAGTAGGATAATTTTTGCTTGCAAACATAGATTGTAGTTTTATAAACATAAAGATTCCTAATTTGCAAATTTACTCTGAAAATGTAATCAAGTATAAAGAACAAAGCTGCTACTTATCTGCTCTTCTTTTTGAAATAACTGTGAAGGCAAATAAGAAAATTCAGGACATTATTGCAAAGGGCTGCAACTTGGGAGCTATAGTGAACTCAGTCATGTCTTTTGGAGCTTATAAATCCTCTTTCTTAGCAACCTAAAAATTTTTTACTTTCCTTCTGATGATTTTCTTTTTTGCTTTTCCTTGCTAGCCTTATAAGTTACTTTTTCCCTCTGCATATTATGAGAGCAGCATCTAATAGGACTAAATAAAGGGATTTATTATTTTGTCTAGATCAAAATTGTACAGCTAGAGTGAGAAATAATTTAAAAACCCATTGTTAGCTTTCTGTTCTCTGCACTTAAGTACCCACTATGTGTTGGATAGGTTGTAATTGCAATGGTGTTTTTATACCCAATGCAAAATGCACATTGAAGTTTAAATGAAGGCTAGTACAGTGACTCAGGCATAATTCTTAACTCCTCACATAGTGAAACATCAAGGCATCCCCAATTATAGTTCTCCTAAGGAGGTATGAACTGATCTTAAAAGAAATTGTGGTTTGCCATACTGTTTGTTAATAAAACCTGTGCTTCCTCTCATTACAGGGCTCTATTCTCGCACACTTGCCGTACACAGGCTTCCGCGGAGGCTGTGTCGCTCTGTCTTTTGAGCTCCTGAGATCTCAGTTTGAATCCAGCCCACATGGAATGACTAAATCTCTAGTGATAGCGTGCCACTTTGCAAAACTTCCTTATATAACTCCGGGTAGAAGCTGTTTCTGAAGCTGCAAGATGCCCTGAATCACCTCGCTTCCCACCGCACAGAGAGCAGGGGATGCTGTGGGAGCAGGAGTTTGGGGAGGGGTGGGAAGCAGTTGGAAGCATCAGCTGCTACTGCAGGGCATTGATTTCATGACCAAAGGACAGGGTGCCTCCGAACCCAGACCATGTAAATAACACCACCCTTTATAATAACATGTAGGTTTCATTGTAGAATGGCCTGGGTGGAAAGGTTCTGAAATCAAGTGAGAAACAGCTCTGAGTTAATGTTAGCACCGAGTTCACAGGGCTTTAGTATTCTAATTGCTTGCAGTAAGACTGAACTGAACTGTGGGCTTGCAATTTACTTTTTAGATTAAATGTGGCTCATATAGTATATAAAAATATATAGTTAAATGCTAATTCTTTCTGTTGGGTAGCTCTTCCACATTGTAATGTGAAATCTGATTATTCCCCTCCCCCTCGCATAAGATAACAGGACCTTCTTTTCACTTCCAGTGTATCGCTACAGCACTGTACATCTGTTCTGTAATTTTAATAGTCTACTCCTTGTGCTCACTCCCAGCCTATGGATTTGGAGTTTTTTAGGTATTTCTTCTCTAACTTTTAGGATTCTTACCTTCTAAACTCTTTCTTTATATCCTCCGCCTTTCTCTTCCTTTTTTCTTTCTTGAGAGACATCTGTGTAATAGTGTTAGGTTTCTGATGTTTTTTACAAAGTTTGAAATATTTACCACTAGTTGTTCTTCAATAACATTCAGGGGGGCAATATTTGGATAAAAGCACTGCAGGCTCACACCTTTCTTTTTCTTCTAATGGGCAATAGAGAGGAACCAGCAGATGTTATGAAAAGATGCCTTTCAAAAAAAATTAAGCAAAATTAACACTAATTATCTATATTGACCATGAGTACTAAGAACATGCACCACTCTAGTTGCTGTTGTGATTTCAATTACAGCATTGTGACTTACAGTTTTAAATGTTATTAAGTCCCTGTGCTGATTTTTTTTTTCCTGGTGGCCTGCCCCCCATGAATGCAAAAGGCTTTTTTTGCAATTTACTCTTAACCTATCCACTGTGTATTAGACAAGTCTGTTAATTATTATAGACTGTTATTGCAGCTTTCCTGACCTTCACATTGGGTCCTATCTGTGCTGATCTAAATGCATTGTTTTAATGATTTCCAAAAAAAAAAAAAAAAAAGAGAGAGAGGAAAAAAAAAAGGAAAAAAAAATTCAAGGCAAGCTTTGATGTGGCTTTAGCTGCCTCGATCGTCTGGCCGCATCTCAGAGATGTGTCACCTATGCCGGGAGGGAATAGGGAAATCACGTTTTGAATGGTAATGATAACATACTAATCACTTCCTTTCTTTGAAGATAGAAGCGAGATATTCTGTCAGCATCCCTGGCTGCTAGAGCTTGGAGGCACTGGTCTAGGTGTATTAGCTTAAGTGTGCATGTCAATACAGCTTGCATCTCCCAAGATCCATAGGGGCTCATTAGAGCAAGGTAGATCGTTTCGGTAGACAGCCACTCAGATAATATGTATGGCACCTCCTTTTTTTATTATTATTAGAAAGCATTTCTTCAATTTTTAAATGACATCTGTCAACAAGGCGAAGTTGTAGGAAATATTTTTTGACAAATATCCAAAATGTTTTTTTTTGGGTAAAGAGGTTCTTGGAGAGGTGCGTGTGATTACTTTACTGGGAGGTTAGGGGGCCTTATGTTTTTTTATGGCTTGATTAGAGCTAGTCTAGGATCAGATTTCCAAAGGAAATGAGCTTCATGTTGAAATGTTGGCATTTTGGATGGAGAATAAACTAATGAAAATAATAATTTCACTTTTTCATCATTGTAAACTCCCTAAGTGAAAATGGAAGTGGAAGATGCATTTTTACTAGGGTTTATTGTTATCTCATAAATGGGCAAATGACTTCTGGGGAAAATATCTTATACCTGTGTGTGTGTGTGTGTGTATTATTTATATATTCACATATATATATTTAGGCATGAGAGATGTAAATCAAGAAACTAGTGTTTTGTTTCTACATCTTTTTACATCAAACAGTCTGAAGAATATTCATGCTGTTCAGTATTCTGTATGAATAGCTCGTTGTTTTTATCACCTGAGTGTACACATAAAGGAAATATGTCCTCTGCTGAAAATTAAGTTCGTCTTAAAAGCTACCACTTGCATTTAAAGTGATGGTTTCATCAAACTGCAGTTGAGCAGAAATCGTGGGTGCTCTCATACATGTGTCACAGGAAAATCTATTTTGCAAATGCTTTTCAGACAGGTTTCCCATATAACAGTCGCATTCCAGTTTGTGAGTTCATGTAATAAGAGTGAAGCACGTATTCCATGTTTCAAAACAAAAATGATCGATACACATAATTACAATTGATCACAGAACCTGCCCCTTCCAGTGGTCCTTGTAACAGGCTCTTCTATAAAATATACGTGGATATCCTTATGTTTTGGAATATGAAAGCACAATTAAAAAGGGGGGGAGAACATTGTAGACTGCTGCCTGATTTTTTTCCCTCTCTCTCTCCTTTTCTTTTTCAGAGGGCACATCTGCTCGATAACACAGAGAGGCTGGAAAGGTCATCTCGGAGACTAGAGGCTGGATACCAAATAGCAGTGGAAACCGGTAAGAATTCTGAGAGTGAGCAAATTGTCTTGCTTATGCACAGCAGTCTTCACAACACATGACATTTCAGGGAAACTTCAAAGGCAAAACAGAGACAGCAGCCCGAGATGTGGTTTACATATTGGGGAGACAATTGGGAGCTTATTTGCGCTTATCTTTTTTCAAGTTAAAAGGCATGACATCTACTGAAAACAGTTCCTGAGGTTTAAAAGTATACATCTGAAAAGAGATGGAATACTTTGTCTAAATTCTACATTTGTCTTAATATGCAGTTACATGTTGTCAGTTTACCCACCCGCAATGATAGCTAGCACACACTGCAGACTCCAGTTGTTTTTGTCTTTTATTCATATATGTAAAAAATACCATTTTAATAAATTTATAAGATAACTACAGATGATATATGATATGGTTATCAGCTCAATTTTCTTGCAATCAGTTCAGTGACTGATTATGCAGTTGTTTTTGTGCAATGAAAGAAGTAAACAAACCATACCCCATAATATACAAATGCAGTAAAATTAAGTGAGAAGGCTAAATGAGGCTCAGTTATTGAATTAGTGGGGTTTTTGTTGACTACAACTTTTCAGTTGGTATTTTCAAAATGTTTTTACTAAGTTTTAGCAATTTATGATGCATTTTTTTTAAACCAGCAATAGTTAAGCCTCCACAGTGTAATCCCCTTAAAAAAAGCTTGTGCGAAGTTACTGAAAGTTTCAGAAAATGTATGTTTGAGCAGTGAAGTAATTTTCTGGCAAAGAGTCTCAATTAATTGATATATTCCAATATCGTTTTAGAATTCAAGCCTTATTTAGGAGGTAAATTAAGTTGAACCTTTGCAGAGTTAAATATAGCTATGTTAAATGAATGGTATTACTAAAGGGCCTGCATTTTAATTATCCTGGGCTTAGTGCTGTGCACAATAATGAAATGGATGTATGGAACATACACTGTAGATTTTGGAGGGGACAAGGAGGATTAATTCTCTTATTCCAGAGAATGACACATTAGTAGAGGTGGGCGTATGATAGCAATTAAGTTTGTTTTCCTGCATATTTTCAGGTCTGTTCTATCAATGGCCATAACTTTTTTTGTTTTTAGAAGGACTGTTTTAAACTGGTCAAAAATGGTTCCTGGTCTGCTTTAGCTGAGCCCAGATCTTTCACAGAGAAACAGTATATAAAAATTCAGACTGATCCTTTTGAGGAAGAGATATCTTAGATCCTTTTTCACTCCGTGTGGAATTTGTTTTATAGAGATGATGATCATGTTAACTTCCATTGCATATCTCCATGGTGATCTCTGAGAAATATGGTTGGAGTGCAAATGTATATTCATATGGAAAAGTTGGCTTTTGGTATCAAACCCAGGTGAAACTGCATGGAATTCCATAGAGTCACACTAATTCACCCAATCTTTGTGTCTGTCTTTAGTTTTCATCTTGAGCAGTGATATATATTTCTTGTTCCCTAAACTCTGTGAGTGTGACAATATTATATGGCATATTAATATTAAGTAATTTGGAAATGATGACTTTGGAAATATTAACTTCCAAAGATGTAATGTAGATTTTTGCAGAATATTGTTATGGGAGCAGATTAATTATATTTAGTTCCTAGCATGGATCATTATGATTCTAGGTATGAGTGAATTTAGATTAATTCAGTGCAATGAAAGAACTTACTTTTGGAGTTACTGTATGATCATTGTGTTGAGGTGTCATAACAAAATAAAATGTTCCATTTTAAAGTTTCAATTCATCATTGAGGTGGCTCTTCAGACCCTATCCTGCTTGATTGTTACTTTTGTTGCATAGAGATCTCTACACAGCACTGGTGAGGCCACATCAGGAGTGCTGTTTTCAGGTCTGGGCTCCCGCGTACGAGAAAGACATTGACTTGGAGTGAGTCCAACAAATGTCCATGAAGAGAGTTAAAGGACTGGAGCATCCTTCATGTGAGGAAGGGCTGAGAAAGCTGGCACTCTTCAACCTGGAGAAGAGAAGGCTTAGAGGGTCCTTATCAATGTGTGTAACTAGCTGATGGAATGGAATGGAGAGGGAGCCAGACTCTCCTCAGTAATGCCCCGTGACAGGACAAGAGGCAATGGGCACAAATTAAAACCTGTGAAATTCCATCACAACACAAGAAAATATTTTTTTTTTACTGTGGCAGTGGTCAAACACTGAAATAGGTAGCTGGAAGTGATTGTGGAGTCTATCTGTGGAGATATTCAAAATCCAAGCGGGCATGGTCCTGGCTCTAGGTGACCTTGGTTTAGCAGGGGGTCAAACTAGATGATCTCAAGAGGTCGCTTCGCAGATCAGCCTTTCTGTGATTCTGTGAGAAGGTGGAGGTGGCAACTCTTAAGTATCAGTTCAGCTTTATTTATGTGGTGGCTTTTCACAGTTATGGATTTGTATGTTGCTTATTGTAGTGAAGCTGGATGATTTTCACCTCTGGAATAAGTCACATTTGGGTCTTTCTTACTACCTTAATCAGCAAAAATACATATACTATTTTAACCTGCCCCTGTGATCATCTGAGGATTAATCTGACATCACACAACTAATTTAATGCAATTTCACATTACCATTCCTGAAACTTACCATGATGAATTGGAAGCTTTTTTCGTGTTTGCATCTCTAAATTGATAAGCTCTTTTATCTTATGTACAGTTGTTCATACAAACTGAAATCTGTTGGGTGGTCTGACTTCTTTCTTTGAGCGGTGCCATCGATTCATGGGCTTCAGTGGTGTCTGAACAGGATGCCACTTATGTCACCATCTCTAAGCACATCCAGCACAATCCAGGCTTTCGTAGTTTGTTTGCTATCATTCGTTAATACTTAGGAAACTTAAATCTATGCAGAAACCTCCTGAAGGAGTAAGCAAAGACTTTAGTATCTGGTAACCAGTTCCATAGTGCTCAGGGCCTACTGTAAAGAGAAGAACGTTATTCTAAATAATCCTAAGGGTTTGTTGCAAATTTAGGAGACATTTGAGTAGCTGATTTGGTAGACCAGTAAGTTCATCGTAGCATTTACATTTTATTTACCTGAGTTGTATGGCACAAGCACATATAAGGGAAAGCGCTCAGGACATACAGGGAAACCACAGGGCATTTAAATCTTTAAGTTCTCTCTTGTTTCTGCCAAGTATGGCAAGTTTTAATAATGGCTGGTAACGCTGCAAAGTGAACTCATCTGCTGTTTTTCAATCAAAATATGTTTTAAAAGTATTTCTTCTTGTTATTTTTCTGTTTTTATGTTATCATCCACTTTGCTGGTAAGGAACAGAAGCAAGTTTACAGCCTGGTTAGTAGGCGTTTCTAACACCAGTCATTACTTATGATGCTAGAGCTCAGTATTCTTAATTTCAGGTCATTTAGTCTGACCATGTAGCCTCAGAACAAGAAACATTTTGAAAATGCATGAAAATTGCTAGTTTCAGTTGAACGGAGAGTCCATTTAATTAATCCTGATTAATAACAAAATTCTTCCCATTTTGGAGGGGGAGATTTCTCAATTCTATTCCCTGTGCTTGGATTTCCACAGCATCAAAGTGTATTCTAGAACTTCCTTATTTTGCCTGCAGAGTTGAAGCGTAGCAAGGTATCCCCTTCTTTGTGAAGTCTTAGATACATTTACTCAGACAAGAGTATTTTGAATGAGGAATAGTTCAAAATGCTTCATTCATCTTCAGAGATAAAATTGGTGTGCAGATGTAAAACACTGTCAAGGAGTAGAAGAGCAAACCTTGTTGTAGGGGACCATTGTAATCTGCAGTTGAATTTCTTTCGTTAAGTTCTTCTTAACTGCCAGATACTTTCTAGGGGGGAAAAAAAAAATCCTGATGTTTATATAATATAGACTTCACCTTGTTTCATGGCAATGTAAGAGAGAGATCCAGTCATCGAATGCTGTCCATGCTTTCATGGCAAAACTACATTGCAGGTATTTATTTTTATTTTTTTTTCCTTCATGAACCTTAGATATTTCTATGGCTTTCACTATGTGCAATTTGAAAGCAAGTGTTGAGCTTACCTCTGTGAGTGATGATTATTTAATATTATGCTGTGGCTCTGAATCTCTCTGAAATACCTGTGCTACTAGAAGAATTTGTAGTTTTGGGGTAATAGGTCTATTCTTTGCACCGAATCTTAAAATTTTGTCTTGGCTTCTGTTTTTATATCCCTTTTGTAATACATAAACATGGTGTTTTTTAAAGAAAAGAGATCAAAGGAAGAAAAACTCTCTTGTTCCATTTACAGAAAATCCTTCTGAATCTCAACTTTAGGTTGCTTAAAGTGTTTTGTCCAATCCTCCTTACTCTTTGAGAATCCTGGGAATTCTGAATCAGTCAAAGGAGAAATGCCTCTGAGCAAGAGACACAGCGGCTTATTTCCCAGCCTTGTGTGACATGAGTAATTCTCAGTACTAAGGGAACCAAGCAAATTTCAGTGGCTTTCACCTATTGTAATGAACTACAGTCAAACCTCCCTTTCTGGACTGAACCATAAATATGTAATGTTATGTAGTGGTAGCCTAGCTGACAGGCAGATGGTCAGACCTGCCTCAAAGTACTGGCAGCCTTCTAGCTGGAAAGCAAATGAGAATCTCCTTAGACAAAGAGGTGTGATTACTTCTTTAGGAAATAATAGTAGTTATCGTCTTATCCTGATGCAGAATTGAGTGAAAGTACAGTGAATAGATCAGTGAAAGTGTGTTAAGAAATGTTTATAGAGAGCTTCTGAAGGCAGGACTCTCCAAGTTCAATGACTTTAGCATGAATAGGTAACTATTTTAAAATACCTGGGTGTCTTGCCAGATGTGACTAATAGAAATTGAGGTATGGGCACATTGTCCTCAGCTGCATGGCAGAGATTTGGACTCTCAACTCAATTCCTTATGGAACAACTGAACCCCAAGCACCTGTCCTGTAGGACCTTTTCCCTCTATATTTCATGGGGTTGCTGTGCTGTTCAGGTGTCATAAATGG